ATTGAGAAGTTTACTCTGTCCTATAGCGACCCTATGAGTTGGAATCGACTTAACGGCAGTGGGTACTGTTTATAAGGTATACAAACAATAGATCAAGGTAAACAAACTAAAGCAAGAAAAAATTTTTTTCTCTCCATTTATCTTAAGCATTTCCTTACTATATTACATGTTTTGAATATCTAGTACTCTGATCTCAACCGTTATAATCAGCTTGTCTTACTTAAGTCATGAAAACAAGTTCATTTATGCATAAATAACACAGGTTAATACTGGAAGATAAGATTTACTAATGAGAAAATTCAGAAGCATGTTCATAAAAACTTAACTTTTAATCAACATAGTGTGGAAGTTTGGCCTTTAGACAAGTTCAACAAAATGTCAAGATAAAGTATTTTATTAAATCATAAAGGACACGGAAGAGGGAAATTTAGAATCCCTAGCTACCATTTCACGATTTTAATTTAACTTTGGCACAAAAGAACTTTTCCGAATTAACGCATAAGGATTTTTTGTTCTATTTCCTATAAGTACATTCCTACAAAAAACTGCTAGAATATCTGCCAGTGACTTGGACCTGGGCTTTATTATGTGGTAGAATATCCTTTAAGGGGCCCTATGGAATCCTTTAAGGGGTCCTGGTGGCTCAGTGGCTAAGCACTCAGCTGCTAACCAAAAGGTGGGCGGTTCGAACCCACTAGCCACTCCATGCAAAAAAGATGTGGCAATCTGCTTTCGTAAAGATTACAGCCTCGGAGACACTATGGGACAGTTCTACTATGTCCTATAGGTCGCTGTGAGTCAGAATCACTCCACAGCAACGGGGTGAAGGAATACTTTTGTGATCCCTGGGCGGCACAAATGGTTAAGTGCTCGACCACTAGCCAAAGCATCGCAAGTTCGACCCCACCCAGAGGTACCTTGGAGGAAAGGCCCAGCAATCTGCTTCTGAAAGGTCACAGCCTTGAAAACTCTATGGACTGGTTGTACTCTGCACACAGGGGGTCACCATGAGTCAGAATCCACTTGATGGCAACTAACAACAACAACAACAGCAGCAACAAGGAACCCTTTCAGAATTGAGCTTGGTAGCCCTTCAGGTGGTTAGGGATGCTGAGGACACCTGGGAGCTGAGCAAGGAGGCACCGGGAGGCAGGAAGGCCTTGGGCTGTAGGGAGGGCTATTTCCTACTGGGTCCTCCTTGCACGGGTGGGACAATGTAAGTGACACACGCACCCCCAGCCCTTCTTTAATTCTATGTTAGCTCTATTCTTAAGAGATGAGATAAACTTCCCTGAAGGCAATGAGTACCTGTATCTCTCTCCACAGCTCTCCATGGACACGTCCACTTTGAGCTAACACCCTGGACACCAGAGGTCTGCATTGATAATCGACAATGCATTGACAGTGTGATTGATAATGCAGACTCACCTTCCTTTTCTCACCACCACCTCATTGGTCTCATGTGTTCCCAGCCGATCAGTCAACAAATATTTATGGAGCCTCTAGTAGATGCCAGGCTGACAGCCAGAGAGATACACGAGTAGACTGAAATATGGGATGGATGTGGGGAATGAGGAAGATAGGAGAAGAGACAGAAACACTCTGGGTGTCTCAAGGAGAGAGTCTCTACAATCTTTGGAAGGAAGCCCAGAGCTGAAGAAACCCCTCGCCTCTCCCCATGGAACACGCTGCTTCTGGCTGTCCCTCTCCATGTCCTCACCAGCACCAGGGAGGCCCAGGAATTCAGGCAGGTGTGAAAGAAGCAAACAAAGGTGATAAAAGAACAATTGTGAGCAGCTCTCAGAAGGCCAACCGTGACATAATCCTCTCTTGTGGAGAGCAGCCACCATTATCTAGTTGGCAGATGGACCACCCAGAAAACCTGGGAGCAACTAGGAGGCAGAAAAGCAAATTGTGGGGAGGGGGCTGAGGAGGATGGGAGGGATGGAGTCCCCAGTCTGTCTGCTGTCTAGGAATCCAGAATGAACAAAGACACCGAGATTAGAGGGAAAAGGAGATAAATAAGTAGGAGTGTGCCAAGCCACACACATGGGCACACACAACTGCAGCAACTATCAAGTTGTAAAATACCCAAAGTGACCAGAAAAGAGATTTTCAACTGTAGAAGGTAGGAAACCACATTTAAGTTCTAATTATCTTCTGACATCCATTTAAAGATTTAAAAGTGATTCTGAACAGCGTACGTGAATTTGTTTTTATTACGTACATTCTTTTCATCAACAACAAGCAAAGATAGCTCTGTCTCTAGGCTATGACCCATGATGCCCTGACATGCCATAACTCTCCCGCCAAATGAAGATTAGCAGCTGACCATTTTGCATTCCTGTGATGGGTCAGGCAATATGCTGTGATGTACATATTGTTTCATAAACCCTAACCAGTTATATGGAATAATGAGCAGTCTTCTACACCACCACTTGTCTGTTAGTTTGGTGGCTTGCATGTTGCTGCTTTGCTGGAAGCTATGCCTCCACTATTTCAAATACCAGTGGGGCCATCCATGGTAAACAGGTTTCAGCAGAGCTTCCAGTCTAAAACAAACTAAGAAGAAAGGCCTGGTGATCCACTTCCAAAAATTAGCCAGTGAAAACCCTGTGGATCACAACAGAAAACCGTCGGATATCGGGCTGGAAGATGAGCCCCCTAGGTCAGAAGGCTCTCAGAATACACAGTGGCCCCAACAATGGACTCAAGTTTACCAGTGACTGGGAAGATGGCACAGGATTGGGCAACATTCCATTCTGTTGTGCATGGGGTCGCCATGAGTTGGGGCCAACTCGAAGGCAACTAACAACAACAACAAGATGTCTATAACAGGTCAAGGGACTATCCCAGATATATGAAATCCCTTGCCTAAGGTCACATAGTTAATAAGACAGAATTGAAACTCAGGCTGAAGCTCCCTGTGAAATGCCACATGCATGGCCCTACAAACTGAATGATGGCTGCTCCCTGAACCCAGTCTGACCTGTGCTTTTGCATACGCTGCTTCAACTGCCTGAACCATACTCTCATCCCTTCTGTCTACGCAAGTCCTTCACATTCTCAAAGCCCTGTTTTCAATCCGATCTCCAACCTGCAGCCCTTTTTGATCTCTACAGCCAGATGGCCTCCAGGATTGGAATGTTCTCCATGTTACTTACCCCATGTCCAGCCCTGTTTGAAGAACTTCATCAGCCAGAACAAGGCCCTGCCCCCCATCGCATCAAACATATTAAAATGCATTCTCACGCCACATTATGTGTATTTTTTTCTGTAAAATATCTGAACAGAGTTTCAGAATTTTGCTTTGAAATTCTCATTCCACTTAGAAATGACTATGATCTCATAGCGATCGTTGTGTGTACTTGAGAATTCTTCAGGTATCAGTCTGTAAATTGTTTTCAAATATGATAAAGCTGCTTGTGCTTCTTAAGTTTAACGTTTACTGAGACTGATATGTATTTGGTAGAGTTTTAAACATTTATTAGTTTCAATTGGCAAGGGTTTCCCCAGTATTTTGGAGCCTAAGAATATGTTTTGTTTTTTTTTCCGGTCTCAAGGAATTTTGTAGGTCCTTGAAAATCTAGATGGTGCCTAAAGCGTCTAAGAGACAGGCTAGCCTGGCTCAGAGCATTAACCACGTGCTACTTTGAGAAAGAGTTAAATATCCACTTGTTCTAAGCCTAGCCCCTGCCCCCGTGTAGTCGTGATTTTAAGCTTATTGACAATAGTGATTTTTGTCTTGTTGGCTGTTAATTTTCTACAGTGACTAGAATGGCTGCCCACAACGAATGCTTGATGAACCCCTCATGAAAAAATAAAAACTAAAAATACACAGAACCACAATGTCAACTACATACTCCACAGCCCCTCTCCTAAAGTATCTACGGTTATTTGAAACTATACTCCTGTCTCCCAAAATGTTTGAATTCTCTTTAAAAAAAAAAAAAAAAAAGCCTTTGTCTCTGATAAACACAATAAAGGACAGTACAAGGAAAGAGAATACAAACCAAAACACAAAGTAGGAGTCTCTAGAAGTATTTGTTGTTTTATTAGCAGGCAGCCACAGATTTCCTCTGAAGCCCCGAGACGAGAGTTCCACGCATAGTTTGCCAGACACCTCCTATTTCTCAGGCAGCAATGGTTCTTTATTACATAGCAAATTGTTCTCAGGCCCAGGTAAATTTCCTTTGGTAGTGCAGGGATTTAATCAAATGCACTCTAACAACAACATTTTAACGTGTAATTAAATGAGTCAGAGTTGTAAGGACGCTTACAACTATTAAGTTAGAAAGGTTAGGCTGACATGCTATGAAGAGTAAGAAGGAGAGGGAGCTGCCTCTTGTATTCCTCTGAGGAAAAAACCAATTCATTAAAAACAAAACCAAAAAGAAAGGAAAAATCAGGTACAGGCCAAGTGGACGGTACTAAGATTACATGAATAATTAATACTATGCCATTATCTAAGCCTTCCTGGTAGATACTCACCCTTTAGTATATTGATTGGGCCTGATCACAGAAGGTTTAGCTTTTAAATGCCTCTTTGATAATGCTGCTAAACCTGCAATCTTCCTTTCATCTTAAGTTAATATTGCTCTGATTTCTACTTTGAGCCTGTGGGCTGTTTTGTAGATGTTCCGACCCCACATAAACCCCAGTGTTAGCTGGGGGCAGGCCCAGTGACCCCGAAAGTCATGTATCATGCTATCACCAGGCAAGCATGATTTAAATCTCAATATTACCACATTCTTAGAGAATAACCAAAAGGCTTAACACTGAGCATTCCATGATTCTGCTGAGAACTGAGAGAAGGAGAAGTATGGGAAGGAAGACTTGGGAAGCGGTAGGGCAGACTTGTGTTCTTCAACCCTGGGAGGGGGCCGCCCTACCTCTTTCTATTGCTATCCTGGAGAGGAGAAGGAGAAGTACGGGAAGGAAGAGTTGGTAAAGGGTAGGGCGGACTTGTGTTCTTCAACCCTGGGAGGGGGCTGCCCTACCTCTTTCCATTGCTATCCCGGAGCATGGCTTTCCCCATCACTCTGGACTTGGTCTCCAGTTCCTGCACCTCCTCCAGCAAGGTTTTTTTGCAGGTGTGCTTGGCCCTGTATAACAAGGAAGAGACAAAAAGAACAGAACATATAAACTTTACACAGCTGTGAACACTGGTTGCTACCCTCTCAGACCCCAACTGGACACCCTCTGTCTGAGGGTGAGGCTTGGAATGTAACGGAGCACCCACAATCCGCACTTGGCATAGGGTTCATTTTCAGAAGCCCGGGAAGCCTCCTGGACCTCACAAATATCAGAAGTCACCCATCCCAAAAGAATGCTGCTTGTCTCCAGAAAAAATACTATAGATGTGGCTCAGGGGCTGAGGTGTGTGGGAGACCTCACGCTGGAGGGGCAGACCTGCCGGAACCCAGGTATTCAGACCAAAGACGGGGGTTCAAGGGATATTCATGGGTTTGTCTCTAAAGCTGTTCACCGTGGGACCTGGAAACCCAAAAGGTTCTTTGAACCCTGAACCCAGAGGACATTTCCCAACCCCTACTGTGATCGGGGCCCTGGTGGTACAGTGTTTAAGAGCTCAGCTGCTAACTGAAAGGTCAGCGTTTCGAATCCACTAGCCACTCCTTGGAAACCCTATGGGGCAGTTCAACAGCAACAGGTTTGGTTTCGCTTTACTGTGATCAGAGGATCCTGGTGGTTAAGCGCTCAGCTACTAACTGAAAAGTTGGCAGTTCAAATCCATCAGCCACTCCACAGGAAACAGATGTTGCAATCAGCTTCCATAAAAATTAACAGCCTTGGAAACCTTATAGGCCAGTTCTACTCTGTCCTACAGGGTCACTATGAGTCCAAATCGACTCGATGGCAGTGGTTTTTTTGTTTTTGTTTTTTACTGTGATCAGAAATGCCCAAGGGTTAGCAGTTTTTCCCCACCCTTTCTAGTGTGAAAAGGGCAACCTGCCATGGCGGGGATGGACTTCATACAGCATGCTAGAGTTCAGGCTCTTTATGTAACACCCTTGACCTCAAATGTGGCATCAACCCACATATCCAGGCATAGCTTCTCCATCTTTCTCTTGCAACAGTTTTCCACTAGGGTCTACACAAGTGGACCTCCACAGCATAAAACGACTTAGGAAGTACAAAAGCCAGCTGGCCTTTCCACCAAATTTGAACCTAGTGAAGACTGAAGAAGAATTGATGCCTTTGAACTATGGTGCTGGCGAAGAATATTGAAATATACCATTGGCTGCCAGAAGAAAAAACAAATCGTCTTGGAAGAAGTACAGCCAGAATGCTTCTTATAAGCAAGGATGGCGAGACTTAGTGTCACATACTTTGGACATGTTATTAGGAAGGACCACTCCCTGGAGAAGAACGTCATGCTTGATAGAGGGTCATAGAAAAAGCGGAAGACCTTCAATGAGATGGATTGACACAGTGGCTGCAACAATGGGTTCAAGCATAACAATGATTGTGAGGATGGCGCAGAACAGGGCGGTGTTTTGTTCTGTTGTACACAGGGTCACTATGAGTCACAATAGACTTGAGGGCACCTAGCAACAACAACAACACATTTTGAAGTGAGTTAATGAATGTCTTACTGTTCAAACCATTTGGAGTTGGAATTCTAATACTAACATCTATTAGTATTCTAATTGATGGTATTAGTTAGGAATTGATATATACATTTGGGTCCATGTAGACATGTGCTCCTCAATCGCAATAAATATAAGATTACCTCCTCCTTGTTTAGTGTTGTATTAAATTAAATTAAAATATAAAGAAAAGAAAATTGAACCTAGTGCTGGTCATATTCCTCTTCTTGAACTGTAGGAAGAGCTACCTGCACCTTTTTTCCTGATTAAACGAAGATGAACACCTTACAATTTTCAAATAATTGGTTGATCTCAGGATCTTCATAAAATTCAGACAAAACAGAGAGCTACTGGTGGGAAACAATACACGAAGAAAAGACATTTAATGAGTCACGGGTTAGATACGGGAAGAGACAAAATCACATACAGAAAAGGGCTCACAGCATCGCTACACATGGGGGTTTCCTTATTATGAACAGCTTTGCATTAGTTTCATTTCAATATAAATACACATGAGGATCCTGCTAGGTATCAGGACTCAAAGATAGAACAAGAACAAAAGCTGAGCATATCTGCAAGGAAATAAGAGCAGTGTAATGGGAATATTCTGGAAACGTGAACTGTTTTAGTTGAATCACATCTTCCCCCCACTCTCCAACTTGAAGGAATGGAGGTCTGTCAAGATAATATAGTCATTCCCTGACACTCTGAGTTAATCTATAATGGAGTGTTACTACTGAGACACGGTATGTGCCTGCCTTCCTTTTCCCCAAAGACAGCAAGAGAACTGAAGCACACGGGTTTTCACATATAATACCTTAATTACATCAGTGTCCCCAGACTCCCAGGACTGATAAAATGCTGCAGTTCAAAGCAGAGACCGTGGAATTTGAATTTAAACAATAAATGAGAAAACATTCAACATTTTGTTGGAAAGGACATAATCAAAAAGGATGTTGAAATTTACACCGCTCTACAATTTTAAATATGCTTGGCCTCTCTGATGGTGAATTTTGTGTTTCAACTTGGTTAGGCTATGGTGCCCAACTGGTCAAACACTAGTCTAAACTCTGTTACGAAGTATTTACATGTGATTAAAGCAGTTGGCCATAAGTAAAGAGATAACTCTACATAACATAGGTAGGGCTCATCTAATCAGTTGAAGGCCTTTAGAGCAAAAATATAGTTTCCCTTGGGTGTGCTCTGCCTCGAGACTATAAACAGACATCTTGCCAGAACGCCCTCATTCTTCACTCTTCCCATTACTTGACCTATGGATTTCAGAGCACAAGACTGATGGAATCTCCAGCCTGTGGCCTGACCTGTGGATTTTGGACTTGCCAGACCCCCACAGTCATGTGATCCAATTCCTTAGAATCAATCAATCAAACTCTCTTTTTATTTATTCATTATATATTATTTTTCTTCCTTGGAAGAAAGGCCTGGCGATCTACTTCCGAAAAATCAGCCACTGAAAACTCTAGGGAGTACAGTTCTATTCTGATACACGTGGGGTTGCCATGAGTTGAAATCAACTCAAGGGCAACTTTTTTTTTTTTTTTAAATTTACATATGTTATATATAAAACATATGTGTGTGTGTATATATATATACACACACGTATTTTATGTATATATATATATATTGTACTTTATATGTATATAATTGGCTCTTGTTTCTCTAGAGAATCCTGGCTAAGACAGTCCAAAACTAGACTTTTTATCTTAGAGGCTTAGGAAGTTATACCGATAATGAGCCAGCTGAGTGGCATGGCCCACCTCTCTTCAGATTCATTCCTGACATATAGAACCAGGAGGGCATGTCTGTCTAGTCCTGAAGGATGAGAATGCTCTCTTGCTTGTACAGGGTACCCCTTACTTCACTCTCGTCCTCCCTCCCTCCTCCCCACCCCAGCACACACACAGAGCAAGCTGAGCCACCCACCTCTAGAACAGCATCCAGTGTTATCTTCTGGATTGGGAGTGGAGGGTGTCACTAAGAAGCTGGCTGTGTGTAGGAAGGCTGGACCACCGGGTTCGGGGGCACTGGGAACCTGGTAGCTTAGGCCAAGGACAAAGAGAATGTGGACCACTGCAGGGACACTGCCACATCCACTTGCTCATCTCATCACCTCGGAGGGAAATACTCTGAGCATCTCCAGGCACCGTGTATTGTGTGTGCCCTTAGTAGATGAAATTCCACCTGTGTCCAAATCTACTCAGCAATTGTATTTCCACTCTGCTTGCTCCCATGAGCTGGCCTGGAACGTAATCACTCTTTGAGAACAACGGATGGCAACGCAGGGATGATTCTGTATCTCCTGCACTCAGCATGCAAGTGGAGGTGATGTTAGCAATTTAAAATCCTTTCCTCAAGACTCTCTACCTAATATGGCCTTAATTAGTGAATAACTCTAAAATCTCCCCTATCAAAGATGACACGAGTTGACTAAAAACTAATACTTCCAGGTTTAAAAAGTCCATTTTTTTAAACTTTAGCCACAGGCATGTAACCTAAATCTCACCACGAGCTGGAATTTAGCTTGTACTGAGGCACGGCCTTGACAGAGTAAGTCTCATTACCAGTGGTGGCTTATCCCCATCATCCAGGCCTACTTCATCTAAGCACACATCAAGAGCCCAGATGACCATCGAGCAAAATAAGTCAATCACAAAACAACAAATATTGCATGTTCTCACTTTCATGAAATGAGATGAACAGGTAAATATACAGAAGCTAACGTTCATTAGTAGTTACCAGGGATGGGGGTGGGGGAGGGGAATTCACTCTCCAGACAGTAGACACTTGTCATTTCTGGTGATGGGAAAGGTAACACTGAACGAAAGTGAAGTGTACACAGCTTGATGAAGGTAAACGATGTCACTAAAATGTATACAAGAAAAAAGGACCTGTTGGTAATTGCTATTTATGGTATATATAAATTTGAAACAACAGCAAAAACAACCAAAAAAAGTATTTGTGTGGGTATGTATGTATTCAACATATATGCTGAGCAAATAATCTGAGAAGCTGGACTATCTGAAGGAGAATGCTGCATTAGGATTGGAGGAAGACTCATTAACAACCTGCCATATGCAGATGACACAACCTTGCTTGCTGAAAGTGAAGAGGACTTGAAGCACTTACTGATGAAGATCAAAGACTACAGCGTTCAGTATGGACTACAGCTCAACATAAAGAAAACAAAAATCCTCACAGCTGGACCAATAAGCAACATCATGATAAATGGAGAAAAGACTGAAGTTGTTAACGATTTCATTTTACTTGGATCCACAATCAACGCCCACGGAAGCAGCAGTCAAGAAATCAAACAACATATTGCATTGGGCAAATCTGCAGCAAAAGACCTCTGTAAAGTGTTAAAAAGCAAAGATGTCACTTTCAGAACTAAGGTGCTCCTGACCCAAGCCATGGTGTTTTCAATCACCTCATCTGTGTGGAAAAGTTGGACAATGAATAAGGAACATCGAAGA